TAAAAGAACGACACATAGCTTTTGAATTCTCTTCTCCTAACATCAAGTTTTGGTATTAAATTAATTAAGAGATAAGAAAGTTGAAAATTAAAATATTTGCAAAGTAAAATATAAAAACTGAAAAAATTAAAATATACTTTTAAAATATTTTTTTAAATTGAAAATTCATTAATAATTCTTTTAAAAATCATTGATTTTGACAATCTAAGAATTGTGGTTCTAGAAATCTCTTATCATCCTACACCTCTTTTATTTAAAAGGGTAAATTCTCTTAAAAATAATATTAAATCTTAAAATATAAAAAAAAAACTTTTTCTAAATATTTTCTATTTTTTGAAATAGTTAATAATAATTAGCATTTCAACATAAAAGTTCTATTTTACCGTTTCTTCAATTAACTTTAACACCAAACATTGAGAACAAATGGTGTAAGTCGCTAATTATGGGGGGCAACTTGTCAGTTTTTATGGGTGTAAAATTATCCTAACAGAGTTGTGTTATTCCCAGTAATCGTTTTTTTTTTTTTTTTTTTTTTTTTTTTTTTTTTTTTTTTTGTGGGGGGGGGGGGAGTAAGACTGTTTCAACGAAACAAGTCGCTTGTGATCCGCTCGGCTTGGCTCATTAACGGCTCATCTTCTGGAACCAATCTGCTTAGCTCGATTGTAAAAGAGAACGAGCTGAGTTCGAGCCTGCCTTGGCCTGATTTGGTAGGCTTGCAAGCCGAGCAGGCTCAAATATTTATTAGGGTGTTTTGGAGGTTTTCTAAAGTATGGGGGATTAAACTAAAATTTAAAAAAAAACTTGCAAAATAACAAAAAATACCCCGATGTTAAAATCCCTAAAAAGGCGACTGAAACCCAATCACCTGCAAATCCAAACCAAATCAGTCTGAAAGCAAGAAGAAGAATATGAGAAAAGGGGAGAGGAATCAAAACCAAACAGTCAAGCAAAGTGCTGTTCAAATTGGGTAAACAAGTTAAGATGTCGTTGGATTTGGTGTGTTGCCATTTTGCTTCTCTATGAGGTTCCTCTTTTGTCTTCTCACTAGGGAACTTGTTGGTGGTTATTGCTGGTGATGGATTGTTTTTGGGTGCGATTTTTTTTGGTTTTGTCTTTTTGTTGATGGTTAGAAGGTAGGACCTGCGGCTTTGTTGGTGAGTGCTTTGGGATTATTTTTTTTTTTTTTGTTGGTTTGTGCATTGTGTGTGGTTCTTTTCATGGAAGAAGGAGGCAGGCTTGGAGGCTGCTGGACTTTTTTTTTTTTTGGAGTTTTTGCAGTAGATGGTTGCTGGCAGGTGGTGTGTTAGCGGTCTGGTGTGTGACTTCTCTTTGGTAGTATGTTGATAGTTCCCGTTTTTTGTTTAGCTGGTGTGTGGCTATAATGTGTTTCGTGTGGTCTCTCAGAGGTGGTTTTGAGATGCTAGTGTGGTTCTCTGCTCTTGGGTCATAATTTAAAAAAAAAAAAAAAAAATTAAACCCCAATAAAATGAACAGATGGCAGGCGGCTCCTTCAGTCCTTCTCTATGCCGTGTCTTTTGTTTCTTACAAATTTTTGAAACTGTCTCATCCCTCTTTCTCTTTCTTTACTCTCTTTTGTTGGTTACCTCTCTCTCTCCTCTCTCCCTCTCTCTCTCTCTCTCATATATATATATCATCTATAGCTCCATCATTATTAAACCTTCTTCACGCTGCAAAATGCAGCTCTTAATACCAAACCAAACCCTCTTCTTCTCTTTCCTCTCGTCTTTGTATTTCTATTTTTTCTTCTATCAACATGGCCGAGTCAGAGTCCTTGAACGACGTCGTCTTTTGGTTACCTTCTAAGTTTGAAGATGTACTTATTGTGGATAAGGAAAACTGCTTTTTTTTTTTTAATTTTTTTTTGGGTGGCTCGAATTTGGCCCCTTAAGCTGGCTCAAACTCGACTTCCCCCTTCAATGAGCCGAGCCAAGCCAATAATTTTGTGGCTCGACTCGGTTCGGTTTGAGCTCATTTTCCTCTTTCTTTCACAAGCCGAGCTCGTTAAGCCAGAAACTCGGCTCGGTTCGGCTCGTAAATAGCCCTAGTCATTGGTGGTCACCCCTTGCTCTTACTACAACTTGAAACCCAAGACCCTTGGTCTTTTAACTTCTCAATTCATCATTCACCCCATCAGATCACAAGTGGTTTTAGTGATCTTTTGCTATACACCTATGAAAGGTTAAAACCTGGGGAAAGGTTAAAACCTGGGGAAAGGTCTATGTAATTAATTAACTTTTATCACTTATTCATTACTAAATTGTTATATTTTATTTAATTATTGTGTTGATGCATTAAAGAGCAAAATAGATTTTTTGTTTTTCTGAACGGTTAATTAAAGGAATGTGATAATAAGGGTGGTTTCTAACTAATTTCTTGAAAGTTCACGAGGGAAATCGATTACAAACATTACACCTACCAACTATCGAAAATTTTTGAAACTCCAAGAGTGGTTAATGAATTTGTCCATATTTATTCCTAAATGGTTTAATGCAAAATAACATGATCTATACAATTAAACAGTATTAATATTAGTGCTAACATGGAACAATGTTAAATAATGATGAAAACATAATTTAAACCAAATTGTAGAAAATGGCCGGTAGACTTCCAAACTCTATTATAAGAACATAAATTTAAATTAAATCGCGTATCAAATTAAAAGACCACATACTTCACGATTAATTGCATACATTTTATATTGACTGAAGTTATCTAAAAGCAATAACAAGAATCAATGTTTTTAAAACCAAGCCACCCCTTTACCTGGTCAAGCCGCTAGTTCCCGAGTTAGTTTGGTCCAAATGGTTGGACCGGTCGGTCGGACTGGTGTTCAACAAACACACCCCTAAAAAGTTACACATGAATCTACAGATTTGAAATCCAGCAAACACTCCCAAGAGAAATTCAATCAGTCCCTACAAGTTTGAAATCCATAAAACATACCCCCGCAATTTTTTATATCCTTTGTCACCTTAATTTAAGAAATCCAGATCTGATCACCCCTTCAATTTAAGAAACGAATATCACCGCTTTCTTTTCCACGTCATCGTCTCTTCCCATCACCCTGAGGTTCGTTATTCTTTTCTTTCCTTTTCCTCTCCTCGATTTTCTCTTCCATTTTTTTATTGTCACCGAAGCAAGCCACGTAGGTTACACAATTGGTCAAATCTAATCGACATCGTAGCTCACACGATCAGCTAGATCTGGCCGACATTGAGCTCACACAGCCAGCTATATTTGGCTTCCTTCGTGGCCTCGATCAACCATGGTAAACCAAGAAAAAAAATGAAAAATAGAGAAGAAGGAGAGAAGAAAGAAAGAGAGGGGAGAAGAGGAAAAAGAAAAAGAAAGAAAGGAAGAAATCTGATAGCCATAATTGACCCGGTTAAATCAATGGTTCACTACTGTTACGCCGGCCCAAATCGAGTCAAAAGCTATAAACAATTTTTAGTATTGCCTAGGCCAAACAGGGATCGGTTCCCGATCGAACCGACCGTTCTGGTTCGGGTTTTGAAACATTGACTATAAGTGAATTCATATAAAGTCTTTGTCAACCTACTTCCTGTACCAACCCTATTATACAAAGTTCAATGGATATATTATATATAACAAACGGAGATGAGACCTAGCTATATCACATTGGAATTTTTAATTGAATAAGAGTTCTTGTGTTTTAAAATATTCTTTATTGGTTCCGCCCATAGGTGAACCGATAAACTTTGCCTACAATAAAATATCACATCAAGTTCAACTTGAGTTTAAAGTTCATCACTTACATAAATCCAAATATTATATAATAAAAGATTAATAATAGAAATCCCATCAGCTTCGTGGTAATTGTACTTGAGTTAGATGTCCTGCAATCACAAACCAAAGGGAGTATACAAGTCGGTGCTAATTCTTTGTGCAAAGTTTGAATTGCCAAATACACCAAGCTGAAATAAAAATTAATAATAGTCTCAATCTAATTTCCCAATTGTGGCTTCCAATCAAATTGAACTGCGCGTGGACTCTGGATTCGTTGATCATAAAACTGAGAGCAAAATAAAACGCAACATGGAAGAATTTTATGACTATAAATTATAATGTGATAATATGTTTAATCAATTAAGTTATTCTTTAAAGACAATTTTGATCGATATTCAATTTTATTATACATTGGCTTATTCTTCTACAAATTATAACTAAGCAGGGGTGAAATTTGTGAAGAAAACCGTGAGAATATAACATAATTTACATTTCTAATTGTTTGGTTAGTACAATTATATAATAATTAATCAGGTCATTTCATCAAGATAATTAGTTTACTTTAGAATTGGAGGCCCTACATAGTACGTAGTACTGTTATATTTCTCTTTGTCAAGACCGGTGAACTTTCCTTCCAATTGCTATCCACTTAGTAATTTTTTAAGGAAATTAATGAATGATAAAGTTTCCAAGGGTCAAAATCTTTGATAAATGATATTGAACCGTTATAATTTATTTATTTATCGATTTTGCAAATAATTAATGTCTTATTAAGGGATAATTTTAATGAGGATTGATTTATGATATTAATTGTTTATAAAAAGAATATGAATTTTTATTTTATTTTTTTTTGAAAAATGGTTATTGTTATTGAAACAGAAAACATTTAGATTTTTTTTTTTTTTTTCTATTAAATATATAGTAAAGTCAGATGCTACAAATACTATTTAAAAAATAATCTTCTATATAAAGTCCCACAAGCTAGATTCCCGTTCCACTTCAACCATTCATTTTCCAATCTCTTTAACCAAAAAGACATGACCACATGCATGTGATTCTCATACAAAAGTCTTAAACCAAAAAGCCAACACTCCGAATATGAAAGAATTAATGTGTCTAAAGACATTGTCCACATAATTCTAATCTTCAAAGTCTCTTATCTCCCACTTACACAATATTCACGCAACTTAATTTCAATCTTTTATGGTGGTTTCAAATTTGAGGAATACACGTAATATGAAGACAATAGTGTTTATTGCAGTTTATTGATGTGTAATAAAGATTTGATTATCATGTATGAATCAATAATCACCTTACATATCATATCGAGAAGCAAATAAATGCAATGAATATGTAATAACCTCACAATTATTCTATATAGTTGAGTGACTTTTCTATTCCTTACTTGGTAGGTTTAGGAGGGATGCTCTGCTCATTTCTGAAGAAATTTTCAGGATCAAACATTGTCTTCACCTTCACCAATCTCTCATAATTTCCATTAAAATACTTCATCCCGTACACTTCACCTTCATTGTAACTCTCTTTACCATGATGGTTGATCCCAATATCAAGATCTCTATAGTTCAAATAAGCACTCCTCGGATCTTTTGACACAAATGGAGTCATGAAACTGTAAAGACTTCTCGCCTGAGATGTGTAGTTCTTTTCAAGCTCAACACTAGGTTCATCCCAACTCACCGAGTACTGAATTTTGAACAAGTTCCCAGCTCTGTGTGGCATCGCCGTCTCCGACGCCGGAATTTCATCCATTCTCCCTCCATAAGGATTGAAAACCAATCCAATTTTTCCCAATTCCATCATAGTTTTCCACAGCAAATTGAGGGAAAATTTCGGAATTGGTTTCTGAACATAATCCGATTTCCTCTTCAAGAAATCCGCCTGGTTGAGATTTCTATCAAGCAACGCATCAGGTTTAGTCCCATTATCGAAATCACCCCACCAAAGAACCGATTCAATCCAACTCATCTCCATACAATTTTCTTTCTTCAGCCCCAATTCAGGAAAATCCTTCCCTAAGAGAGCCACAAGACTGTCCGCCCCGCCTAAATACAATGCCAAAACCGATGCTCTTACCGTCAACGTCTTGTTCCTCGTCACCGGCTGCAGAAGCATTCTCATGAACAAATTCGTATCCGTCGCCGGCGCCACAAGCTGCCATTTATACACCACATCCGTCGCATTCTCTTGCAGAAGTCTCTCAACTCTGAAAACGGTAACCGTTTCAGGAACAGGAACCAACTTGATCTTATACGATAACACAACGCCAAAACTTGCTCCCCCACCTCCTCGAAGCGCCCAAAAAAGATCCTCTCCCATCGCTTTACGATCAAGAATTCTCCCCTTGACGTCAACAATCTTAGCATCAACAACATTATCAGTTGACAAACCAAACTTCCGCAGCATGTTGCCGTAACCTCCGCCGCTCAAATGCCCACCGACGCCAACAGTGGGGCAAATGCCGGCGGGAAAGCCATGCACTTTACTTTTCTCCCAAATCCTGAAATAAACTTCACCCAACGTAGCGCCCGCTTCAATCCATGCAGACTCGTCCTTCAAGTCAATATTTACTGATCGTAAATTAAACATGTCGAGAATAAAAAAAGGGTTTTCAGAAATATACGATATGCCCTCATAGTCATGGCCGCCGCTTCGGATTTTAAGCTGATAACCAACTTGTTTGGAGCAAATCACGGCAGCTTGAACATGGGATTCCTGTAATGGAGTTACGATGATTAAAGGCTTCAGCGTTTCGGAGTCATTGAAACGAGCGTTTCGAATATACGCCTGTAAAACTGAAGTATAGGACGGATTTGTTTGGGCGAAGACTATCTTGGAGAGTTCATCTGTGGAGTTTGTCTGGTTTTTTAAGCATCGCAGAAACGTTTCGTAGACTGAATCTGAAGCGCCCGATGTGACGGAAAGATTCAGGAATTGGAGTGAAAGAAGAACAACAAAAACGGGAGAAAGAAACGTTGATGTTTTAGCCATTGTTTTTCTGGTTTGTACTTTGTCGTGCGCTATGAAAAAGCTAAAGGACATTGCATTTATATGCACCATTAAAGGCCGTTATTATGAGTCAATTTAAAACTAAATGCTGAAAGAGACAGCGATAGACTTGAAAATTCAATTGGAAATTGAGTTATTTAGGTAAGAAAATTAAGCAAAATCTAGAATTACTATTATTGTTAGAATATTCAACTTAATTTAACTATTTTTAAAATCCGGTGGAGACAAATTTGGTACTAGTACTTGTCACTGTTTGACTGAACCTTAATTAAGGTCAGAAAAGATAAAATATATTTTTTTTTCTCTTAAAGTTAAAAAGAATTTATATGGTTTACACCGTATTTTAACTAATCTTTTTAGGTTTTAAAATTAATATTTGAATAAATTTTTAGTAACCACTCTTATTAACAACCGAAATAAATCAAACTCAAAAATTCTGATTTATCCCTCTCTCATGGTTTAGGTTTTGTTATTGAGATTGATTAATTATATATTATGTTGAAAATGATAATGGTTTCTTGACTTATTCAATCTATTTTTAGACGGCGATTTGTATTGAATTGATTGTCTTACGTTGGAGCATTAGGAATTATGAATGATTAATGTGTCTAATCACGATTTAAAAAATGTTTTATTATGTTGATTATGATGGGCAACTTGGTAATGGTCTAATTATATTAAATATTTGGAATAATGTAATGGGTCTTTTTAGAGCACTATTAGTTAATTGTTAAATTAATATGTTGGTGTAAGGCTTTCATAAGAAAAATATAAATTATAAATCAAATGATGGTGGTCAATGATATTAATATATCTCTCCTAAAACCGATTGATATAATCATGGAATTAACTTTTATGTTATTTTGTTTCCTGATTAGTATTTCAGTGTGATTTTCTCCCTAGCAAATTAATTATAAGGATTCTACATAGTGATGTATGAAAAGCCTATTGCAGTGCATTTTCTTGCATAATTTATGACAATTAAAGTAATCTTAAATTATTTTAATTATTTTAATTGTGAGAAACTAGCACATTGATGATGATAGATACTATATTTGACAATTTAACTGTTAAATTTTAATAATTAATTTATTAAAAAGATAGAATTTAAAGTAAGAAAATATAAAATTAATAATTTCTTGTAAGATTTAAATTAAGAGTCAAAAAGCAATATGTAACTACCACATTTTCTATATAGTATTAACGAATGAGATAATAAAGGAAGAATATAGAATACCAAAGTTCAACTTGATAAATTTATAATAATATTGTACTTAAGGATTGTAATCCTGTGTGCTATTAACAAAGATTCTGGCTTCTTATAAGTTTTATATTTATTTTCACCAATAATTTCAACTTATATGTAAGAAATTGTTAGGATCATATGCTTACTACCACGACAAATTAAAGCTTGTGCAGTCATATTTCTTCAAGCCATCTGTTGCTTAACCTTATTTTTTTAAAACTATTAGCCCATTGCCCACTTAAGAGTAATACTATAGTTACCGAAAAGTTTATATCGAATTTGTGCACTGAATGACGTGATAAAATCCTGACCGTTTATTTATTATCAATTAATATTAATCAACGGTCAAGATTTTACTATATCATTCAATGCACAAATTCGGTGTAAACTTTTCGATAACTCTATCTTTTCTCACTGCTTAATTCCCCTCCCCCCAGCACAACTTTATTTCCTTGAAATATGGCGCAATGCACCCACGATTACGTCACCAAAACAGTTGTCATGATCAGACGCTTACTATCAGGCTAAAAGTTATAGTTGTTAACAGTTGTCATGCATCTACAGTTTGAGGTAACTCAACTTCCGTTCAACAGGATGCTAGCCTACCTAACAAACAGAAATATCACTTTAAAATTTTTTTGCGAACTAGTTTTTTAATTATCTTATTAACTATCAAATTAGAGAGTTTATTAATTCTTTAGTTATGTTTAGATAAAACCTGAGTATCAGAATTTATTCATCAAATTAGACAAATTGTTATTTTAGCTATTATTTAAAAAAATTCTGCAATAAATTGAATGTTTTCTAAAATATTTTTTTTTATACAATTTTAAAAGCTATTGTAGAATATGAAAATAATTTTTATAATTATTCTCTCAATTTTCTACTAGTTTTTATATTAAAATTATTAGATTACAACTCCATTTTTAAAATATTATTTTTAATTTGGATTACAAAACAAACGTCCCCTCACAAAATCCCACAAAAACATTTCTTTATGACCATAATTTTTTTTTTTTATATATAATCCTATCCAAATCAATGTCTAGCTACTAAATAATAATTTAATTAATAAAGCCTCCAAAAATTCTAATACAAGAATCCGCGTAAAGGCAAATGGCAATTTGTTGTATTTATACATGATTCATATCCTTAAAGAAAGAAAATTCTGCCAACATGTGAATATTGGGGTTGGGCATCACGGCAGCTTGAACATGGGATTCCTGTAATGGAGTTACGATGATTAAAGGCTTCAGCGTTTCGGAGTCATTGAAACGAGCGTTTCGAATATACGCCTGTAAAACTGAAGTATAGGACGGATTTGTTTGGGCGAAGACTATCTTGGAGAGTTCGTCTGTGGAGTTTGTCTGGTTTTTTAAGCATCGCAGAAACGTTTCGTAGACTGAATCTGAAGCGCCCGATGTGACGGAAAGATTCAGGAATTGGAGTGAAAGAAGAACAACAAAAACGGGAGAAAGAAACGTTGATGTTTTAGCCATTGTTTTTCTGGTTTGTACTTTGTCGTGCGCTATGAAAAAGCTAAAGGACATTGCATTTATATGCACCATTAAAGGCCGTTATTATGAGTCAATTTAAAACTAAATGCTGAAAGAGACAGCGATAGACTTGAAAATTCAATTGGAAATTGAGTTATTTAGGTAAGAAAATTAAGCAAAATCTAGAATTACTATTATTGTTAGAATATTCAACTTAATTTAACTATTTTTAAAATCCGGTGGAGACAAATTTGGTACTAGTACTTGTCACTGTTTGACTGAACCTTAATTAAGGTCAGAAAAGATAAAATATATTTTTTTTTCTCTTAAAGTTAAAAAGAATTTATATGGTTTACACCGTATTTTAACTAATCTTTTTAGGTTTTAAAATTAATATTTGAATAAATTTTTAGTAACCACTCTTATTAACAACCGAAATAAATCAAACTCAAAAATTCTGATTTATCCCTCGCTCATGGTTTAGGTTTTGTTATTGAGATTGGTTAATTATATATTATGTTGAAAATAATAATGGTTTCTTGACTTATTCAATCTATTTTTAGACGGCGATTTGTATTGAATTGATTGTCTTACGTTGGAGCATTAGGAATTATGAATGATTAATGTGTCTAATCACGATTTAAAAAATGTTTTATTATGTTGATTATGATGGGCAACTTGGTAATGGTCTAATTATATTAAATATTTGGAATAATGTAATGGGTCTTTTTAGAGCACTATTAGTTAATTGTTAAATTAATATGTTGGTGTAAGGCTTTCATAAGAAAAATATAAATTATAAATCAAATGATGGTGGTCAATGATATTAATATATCTCTCCTAAAACCGATTGATATAATCATGGAATTAACTTTTATGTTATTTTGTTTCCTGATTAGTATTTCAGTGTGATTTTCTCCCTAGCAAATTAATTATAAGGATTCTACATAGTGATGTATGAAAAGCCTATTGCAGTGCATTTTCTTGCATAATTTATGACAATTAAAGTAATCTTAAATTATTTTAATT